TGATGGTCTGTAGAAGATCACTGCTACTGTCACTGTAATTAACTTAGTGTAATAGGGCTCCACTGCTGGCCTTCAAATTTAGTTCTCTGTGCTTTATGCAGTATCTATGATCTGGGTTGTTCCTCTGTACCGATTATTTAACTGTATTGTAAAAGCACAGAATGGAGGTGTTTCTCATTTTGAAGCTTAAGTCTAACATACGTGAGGTATCACAATTTTTATATATCATGTAATTCCCTTTCTTCAGTCCACAATTCACCATTCTTCTAATTCTGATCAGCTAATGTCTTCCGTATAAAACTTTTCCCCCTGTGGTTCTCTGCTTTGGCCATGCATGGTAACAAGAGGTAACATTCAGAACGAAACAAAGGAGGTCTCGGGGGGCGAGTGTTATGCTCATGCAGTTCAGGTCCGGAATGTTGTCACCCAGGTGAACTGAAGCCTGCATTGATCGCTTTTGATACAATGATTGCGCTCTTTTTGTAGGAGGAGTTCTTCCAATTGAAAGCTGTGACTACAAAGTGTAGCTGCTAATTTGGAAGTAATAAAGAAGTAGCAGTAGGTTTGTGGTGGTTTTCAGTTCTACCCCTTGAAAATTTTTCTTAGATTATTACTTAAGGGAAAGGATTTCCCAAATTTTTCCTTAATAAGGGTACTATTGTTTCACTTTCTACTAGGATTGTGGGGAAATGTTGCTTCAGGTGAGAAAGAAAAACAGGTAGATTGGTAGCACTAGAGAGTTTACTATAGAAGAGGTGCTTTTCTTTTAGGATTTTCTACATTATTTTTTGAAAAAAAAAAAAACTTGTAAAGGTTTTAGGCCTTTTGTAATTGGCTGTGTATACATATATATTTTCAAGAAAATGTGCTTTAGGTTAATTAATCTTGGGGGGATAAACCATCTTTTTATGCTTGCTACATTCTTGCCTTCCACAATCATCTATCCTCTCTACAGTTGTTGTGTTCTGTTCAGACTAACAACTTTACAGATACGCTTGCTTTTGTTATTCAGGATTGGAGAAAATCAAATGAATTGAAAAGAACGTTTTCCATCTTACTGATACACACATGTCATTGCTCCATTTTTGTTCCCAGAGGACTAGTTTTAGTTATGTTGACCTTCACATTCCTTTGAAAGAAAAGCAGGTTAATAGGCAGTTTACAGAGAGGCCTGGTTTATTGTAATGTCAGTAAATGATAGGAGAAAAATCCATGTGCTATGTATGAGAATAATTTCGCTCAATTTGGAGTTCAGTGTGCATGTCTAACCACATATTAGCGTCTTTTTGTGTCCTTAATAACTGTACATTTCCTTCTAATGCAGTCTCCTGGAAGGTGGAACTGAAGCAACATTAAGTCTGTTTCAATAGAAATTAAGAATTTGGATTCAAATTACTCTTAAGCTTAGGGTAAAAGTTGAAGGAAGATGATGAGTTAACTTTGAGGATGGTTACTGAGAGGCCTTTCCAAGCATAAGTGAGAGCACAGGAATGTTGTGAGAAGCATATTAAATGGCATGTGAAATAGGCAGAGAAGGAACTCATTTGTCCTAATAATATGCAAATAGATGTGGCAGTTGATAAATATTTTTGATGTAATCTGAATGAAGATTTATTTCTAAATAATTTTTTATGCTTTTAAAATTCATTAGTTTTGTATTAAGTGAGATGACTTGGAGCTGACACGTCTGCCCGTAAGTTCTCTTAAAAGAACAGGAAAGGGCTTGACAAACTGTATAGGCTTCATAAAAGCATTAAAAACAAAGGAAAAGAGTAAAACGTCAACTCCTTCAAATCATAATGAAAAATTACTCTAAAGCTTAGAGTATAAGAACAGCTATACTCAGTGGAAAAATCCATCTGATCTTGTATCCTCCAGCTGCGGGGTATTTAGCCAAAGAACATAACAAGCGTAAGATAGTTCCCCATAGTTTCTAGCTTGCTGTAATTTCAGAATTTCCTTCAGAATGTATCATACCTGTATCGTTTTTTCTGAAAGCCCTTGAAGGGTCATACCATGAACCTGTGATATCTTTTGTGCGTGTTTACACTTTGGCATCTACAGCAGTCTTGTTCCTGGCAGTTTCCTAATTTAATTATGCAGTCCTATGGAAACTTCTCTTTTTGGGGGGTTGGTTGTTTGGGGTTTTTTTACTTTTTAAAATATGCTAACTGATAGCATGAATAAGAAAGCTTTGTCTTTTGGCTGATTAAAGAGATGATAAATAATCCAATTTGTGCCAGTCATATTCCATAGACCTTCACTTCCTTGATCCTTGCTCAGGTGAGGAGTCCATGTCTATTTAGTCTGTTCTCTCAAAGAAGCTATTCCATGTTCCTGGTCATCCTTGTTATCCTCTGAGCCTCAGAATAATCAGAATTGTAAACAATTTTCTAAATGTGAACTTTTTAGATGTTTGGTGGCCATGGTGGTTTCTGTTTTGTTTGTCCTTTTCTATTAGTTCTGTTGGCTTCCAGATATTTGAGCTGATATTTGAAGACGGCTCTGAAAACAGTGACTAAAAAGATCTTTCTCAAGGAATTAACACCAGTTTAGAAACTATTATATGGATATTTGTGCAACTGCAAATGTTTATCTCATCACTATCTGCAAACCAGTGCACATATCCTGGGCTTAAACAGAAGGTTTCAACTTCACTTAACGTGCACTAACAGTCATAATCAAGCATAAGAGAGGTGATGTGTATGGATATAGTGTGTCTAATGTAGCTTATGAGTACCAAAGTCACAGTCCCAAAATCGCTTGATTAATATGTACACTGTTTAAAGTGGCGATGCTCTTCCAAAGGCTTGCTGGTTTTTACCTAATCTTTGTATTAGGCAGGTCTTTGATTACTGGACCCACGGGGATGAGATTCTTGCTAGTATCCTTTGAAGTTAGGACTGAATAAAAGCAGCATCAATCCCCAGTAACTTCAGAGTACATAAACCAAATCATCTTTATTTTCAGTTCCCAACAAGGGGGGGTGGTAATTGGTTCTGCTGACAGTGCCCTGATGGGGACCGGTTCCTTACAAGGTTGGAGCATTGCTTCGCAATTGGACCAATGAAATAATTTTCCTGCCATTATTGCTCCAGTGTTCTGCATCATGTGATCCTTCTCCAACCCTGCATTTTAACTTACCTGATAAATTTTCTATATGGGAAACTATTACATTATTGTTCACCTTTTTCTGGAACACTTATGTGCATGGTGAACAGCACATTCATTTAGGGCTTCTCTGATAACTTCCATTCCTTGTGAAAACAAATAACTTGCTATCCATCGTTGAAACAGTTCTTAATATACAAGGACAAGTTCCTCCTTATGCCATGTCACCTACAAATCTTGAAGAACTCCTGGTAAGAGATCTTACCACGTGTGTCCTGGAAGTCTTAAGTGTTCCATCATCCTTCCCCATGTGCTGCTTGGTTGCTTGGGGAAGAAAAGAGATTTGTGAAGCATGGTTTCATTTTTCATTATTCATCTAGCCGTCTTCTGATTTGTATTTCTCATAACTTTAACAGATTTTTCTGGTACAAAGTTAAAAATATCCTGCAGTTACCTTGATGTTTCTTTAGAGCCCTTTAAAAAACAAACAAAAAGTAATTAAACTTTTTCTTTTAAATTGCTCTTATATTCTTTCCAGGCAAAGAAAGTGTCCTTACTTCGAGTGGTTTTTTTTGGTTTGTGGGTTTTTTTTTCTCATTTTTTTCTTCAAATATGGCATAAACAATTATTATGAAAAATTTAGACATGCAGAATATTAATCTGGAATCATGGGAATTAAAGTAATTCCTTTTCTGTGGCTTTTGAGTAAACATTTGGGATTAATTCAAGATTTAATGAATAAAGATTAGTTCCTTCACTTGCTTAGAAAACCATCTACAACACTAGCTTTTGAATAATCTTCACCTTGATTTTTATTTTACTTTATTAGAATGGTGGGAGCAATGAGTGCTTTTGCTGCCAAAAGAAGGGGAAAAAAATAGAGTTGGAAAGGTGGGGCGGGGGGAAGGGAAGGAGGAGGAGGAAGTGGCATATTCAGTATTAAAGCAACTTGGGGGTTATTTTTGAAAATGATGTTCTGTTGAAAACTGAGCACTCTTCTTCCAAGTGACTTGCAGAGTAAAACAGCACGTTTTGCTACAGTAGATAATGAAATCAAAATAATTGTCTTACATTGTAAGTGACAGCTTCAAGGTTTGTGATACTAACATTTAGACTGATCTGTGTGGTGTCCTGTAGACTGGAGCATGTGGATGATGCAACAGCATGGCTTGGGTAGATGCTTACGTTCTCATCTTGAATCTGCTGGTTGTCTCTCAATAAGTTCACTGTTAACCGTCCTTTCAAAATTTAGCAGAAGACTTTGAGGCAGATGTTTTATGAATAAAATTGCACGGTTTTGCATTAGACTTAATATTGGCTCTGTCAACTCTAAAAGAATTATAATGTCTGCTTTTTTATTGTAAAACTAGAGGCACTGTTTATTCCTTTACACTAGCTCTTTTACAGTCCTAACAAATGTAAAAAGCATTTCTGTTCCTTTTTCTTTTAATCTGCAATTTACCTTGTTTCATTTGGGTATTAGCAAGGAAAACAGTGCAGTCATTTGGAACATAATACATAGAGGTATAAAAAATAACGTGCATGTAAAAGTGCAAATAGGTATTTCTTATTAGAAGGGGATTAGAACAAACTTCTGAAGTATAAGTTTTAGTTCATGTATTTTCTTTCTTATACAAGCTTGCGTTAAGACCAGATGTTCTTTGTTCTAACAATGCTTGCAGGTTCCATAGGCCTAGTATTAAAATTTTCTTTTGACTTTAAATGACTGTAACTCTTTTCTGTATAATTGTCTTTTTTCCAGTTTGGGAATATGTAAAAGTAATGACAACTTAGAGGTTTACCTGACCATGTAAAATTCTGATTAACACTTGTGGAATGTTTAAGAGATGAAATATAAATGTAATAAATTAACACCTCTTTCTCTGTAGGGTGCTGGTCAAGACAAACTTGGAATATATGTCAAGTCTGTTGTGAAAGGAGGTGCTGCAGATGTGGTTAGTAATATTCCTTTGGAAGCGCTTTTAAGTCCTTTGTTTACTACTATGTGTGAATAATTGTTTTAATTTAGACCATGTTAGCATTGCTGTATGAATTCTCTTCTCTCTTGAATATGTATTTAGGATGGTCGTCTGGCTGCAGGGGATCAGTTGCTCAGTGTGGATGGTCGAAGTTTGGTGGGCCTGTCCCAGGAAAGGTGCGGAATGCTTTCCTTGGGTGTCTTTACACGAAGAAGGTGTTAGAGTAATAACTTACCAAAAAAGGCTGAAGCTCATTTTTTGCATGTTAGGCTTTGACGTGGCTTTTTATAGCTGCCTATGACTAACTTAATAACAAGTTTAACTATTTGTGTAGTATTTTCCATATATGATATGGGTTACCTATATAGAAGAGACGGTATTACGCGTTTGGGCTTTAGTTTTGAGCAAACTTTATTTATCTCTAATTTTAAAATTTTGGCTTCTGACCTTTAACTGCACAAATTGAAAATAGTACTTGCCTGTAGGTGTTGTCTGTTTAATAAGCGTTATCTTCTAGTCATCATCGTCTAATTTTTTTCCAAAGTGATTTTAAGTATTAATCAGGAAAAGTGTTTTGTCAAACAAAAGATTACTAGAATAAACATGAGAAATCATGACATACTAAATGACAATAAGGAGAACTAAGTGATACAGTGCCTGATTTTATTTTGTTTTGCTTTGGCTTTTATTGCAGGGCAGCAGAACTTATGACTAGGACAGGTTCTGTAGTAACACTAGAAGTTGCAAAACAAGGAGCAATTTACCATGGTCTGGCAACCCTGCTTAATCAGCCATCCCCAATGATGCAAAGAGGTAAGCATGCTAATATTATTTATGTCGATAATGACTTTATAAGTCTTAGAATGCAGAAAATATAATAATTAACATTAGCTTGCCAAATACTACCACAATATTAAATCGGTAAAGAAACAGTTGCACAGAAAAGAAGCATTTCCTTTCTTATCCAAAGTTGATCTGTTTTTAAATATTGTTTGAAATTATGCTAGTCTAATCATTAATAAATGCTGTGCATATGTACCTTTTAAAAAATTAAATTATGCATTCTGGTTCTGGTTTGAAGTATTTTTTATTTTAACAAATGGAATATAATTAATACAAAGGGCATTAAACTTCAGTGGCTTTTTTTTTTTTTAAATTCCTTTCATAAAAGCTTCTCTCCTCCTCTCAGAATATGACTTCCTTGTAACCAGAGAGTGTAACATAATTACTAAGAGAGAAATAAATAGAAACAGAAGCCCCTGGAACATATTTTGCCATTTACTTTTTTTTTTTTTTAAAAGAAAAACTAGAAATATTGAAAGGTATCTTAAGTTTCTATGTCTGATCATAAGAAGTTCTTGGATGTTTCTCTAACGTTCTGTTTTATCATCCTACTTCAGTGACCTAACAAAAGATGTGTTTCAGTCTTAAAGGAAGACCGTTCTACATATAGAGTAGTACTACAGTATAGAAAAGAATGGGTTAAAAGAATAAATCCTTATTATCACAGTTTACAACACTGTCCCAGATGCCATATGCCTCAGAGTCAGCAAGAGACTTTTCAGTAAAGTACATTTGGCTTTTCCGAATACAGTGGTACCTTTTCAAAAGCTCTTTTGAAGCATACGTGTCAAAGGAATCCTGTATAGTTGATACAAGAGTGGGATTGTGTTGCTGAGGAAGTAAAGATTTTAAAATCAAGCATTTGCTTTACTGGGAACTCATTTTTAGCTACAAATGCAAGGTAGCTCTGGTTTGCAAAAAAATATACAAGACAGTAGTTAATATAAGTGAAAGGGGGAAAATACATATCCAACTGTTACAGTTTCTGACCGCCGTGGCTCAGGTAAACCCCGACCAAAGAGTGAAGGCTTTGAGCTGTATAACAACTCCACTCAAAATGGGTCACCTGAGAGCCCTCAGCTGCCGTGGACGGAGTACAGTGAACCAAAGAAGCTGCCAGGGGATGATAGATTAATGAAGAACAGAGCCGATCATCGCTCCAGTCCCAATGTAGCAAGTAAGTAAGATTATCCTTCTTTTAGGGGTAGATGCCTCTTCCACTCGTTTTAGAGGCTGTTGAATTCAAAAAGAGGATGATTGTTTTTAAAAACAGATTAAGTTTAAAATGCCAACGTAGTAGTAATGTTTGGAGCAAGCCTCTTGTTAGAACTATTTAAAGGAAGAATCATAGTTATTTTGTGAATACTAGTATTTTATTAAGTTATGAAAATTATTGTTAACAGTCACGTAAATGCTTCCTTTAACTTTTCCAACAGATCAGCCTCCAAGCCCTGGGGGAAAGAATGCTTATGCATCTGGAACTACCACCAAAATAACCTCAGTCTCTACTGGAAACCTTTGTACAGAGGTCAGAAGTGGCAAGCAAAATGCTGGCTATTGAACTTTCCTTAGCTATCAATAGCGTCAGTGTGCTTGAGTCAAACCGGTGTCTTACTTAACTATTTGAACATAATGCTGGTTCTAGTGACTGGGTGGGGGTTTTGCTTATTGCAGCTAATAGAAGACTGAGACAGCTTTGAGTGATTTTATGAAATGTTCATGAAATTGTCCTTGTGATTTCTTAGGTTTGTACAATATTGTGTACTTGTTTTCAGACCATAAAAACATGACTCATAACCACAGTTATATCTGATACTAGTCAACCTCTTTATCTCCCGCTCCAGACAAATAGTGCTCTTATGAGCCAAAAGAAAACGTTTAGAAAGTACACGTTTAAAATAATACTCTGTACAGATCTATGTGATTAGAAAATTATACCTTATGTTCTTTCTACCTTTTTCAGGAACAGACTCTGCCCCCACGACCTGAAGCTTATCCCATTCCAACACAGACATATACTAGAGAATATTTCACGTTCCCAGCTTCAAAGTCCCAGGATCGAATGGGTCCAGCTCAGAGTCAGTGGCCAAATTACGAAGAAAAACCACAGGTCCAGGCAGAAAGTAATCACTCGATCAATACTACAATGCAGGTGAGAAGTAGTTTCTTTCAATATAAGAAAAGAACAGAAAGAAACTGCTTGCTTTCCACTCCCAGACTGCTGGAGACATTTTTGCAGAACAGTCAACTCTATAATCTCTGAGCTGTTGAGGACAAACTATACCATGGGGGGGTGGGGAACAACTGTACTTCTGCCAAGATTGGCTTGGGTTCAGAAACCCTACTCTCTCTTTTTTGGGGGTTGGGTTTTTTTCTTTGTTTTGTTCCCCCACCCCCTCCAGAATTTATGTTACCGTGTTCTGCAGACCTGTTATCTGGGATGGTTTAATCCCTGTTGGAGGCAATGGGGTAAGATGGTAGTAGGGTTTGTCTTGTAAAACGTTTTGTGGTTTTCTGAAAAGCAAACTAAATCTTTCACTTTTCCAAGAAGGAAAAACCTCTTGCCTGCGGGATGCATTGTTTAAGTGACAAAGTGAAGTATTAAAAATGAAATAAAACAGTACTTTGAGACCTATCCAAGGTCTTCATTGAAACACATTCCTTGCTCTCAGTTAAAAAAAAGTTATCAAAGCGTAGATGCTTCTTGACCTAAAATGAATTAACCCCCACTGTACCTTTATAAATTCAAAAAATAATGTTCTGTCTTTGAGGACTTTACTCTAATCCATACAGGAAATTAAATCTAGATCTACTAAATCCAGTCACTGGATCATCTTTTTCTGTAATCCACCAGAGACTTAAAAATATAGAGAGAAAACTGGGTTTTGCTATTTCTTAATTTGTGATAAAAGCAGAGCCTTACACCAGGCTCAGTATGTTTTACTTTTGGAAAAGGAGTGTCATGTAAATTATCTTGAGATTGTGTCATAATTGATTTTGTGCCATTATTGATTGCTCACGCGTATCGGCAAGTGAGTTCAGTAGAACGTCAATTGAATAAAAGCTTAGTGCTTTTTTTTACCCCCAGTATTATAGATACCAAATCCTTATTATTTCAGCTATTAAGAAAACAGATGTTGTACCCAAAGTGGGATGGTAATTTTGAAGGAGAATGCTGGAAGTTAAATGACTGTGTCAATAAGATGTGGAAATGTTTTGCGGAATTTCTGTGCTTAACTCCTTCACGTTTCGTGATTTAATCTCACCTAATCTTAGTTGGATAGTTAACGTCTAGGCTTTGTCTGTCAGTGATGGGACAGGGGGAAGCTGGTACTTCCAGAGAACGGTTCCTACCCATTTGTCTTAATGGGATGAATTGCTGCCTGGGCATGCATCTCTCCCCTGCTTAAGACAAGCTTAAGTGAGTAGCTTAGAAGAGGTGGTTCAAACTGGTGAGATGAACCCCATCTGTTAAAGTTGTTGACAGATACCAAATTTGAGCTGTGGCCTTAAGGCTGAATGCAGTGCAGAAAAGCATTTTCATAACGCAAATGGCTAGAAGCTTTAGCTCCTTACAAGCACTGAAAGTGTGCACAACTTTTCCCCACCATACAATAACTCTTTTAAGTTGAAAATCAGAGAAAATAGACTTTATAAAAAAAAATCTTTAAAAAATCCTTTTAATCTTTACAGTGAGAACTGGGCTTGTAAAAACACTGCTGTAAGCTACTGAGTGATGTGAAATGCCTGTTTTCTGTTCTGAAGGCATTAGCAAACTGTTTGGCGAGGTGCATCTTTACAGCAAATCTAACACAAATAGCTGTGTGTTCAGCTCTGCTGGACTAATAGAGCATAAAAAATACACTTGTTCATCTCAAAGGCAGCATTCTTTAGAGGTCATGGTTAAGGTCACTGATGGAGGAAAAAGAAAGGAGTTTGCTTTGTCGGTCTTCTCTCGGTTGTTGATAATTGGTACATTATGTGTTCAGTGCTTAATAGTTCCTAACATTCGAAGTATGAATATTTGCTTCAAGAAAACCATCAACAGATCTGATAAGCCTAATTCGTGGCCCAGTATTCCTTTTCAGGAGGTTGTACAGAGTGGTGAGACCCTGAGCTTGTATATAAAAAAAGACCTGGTGTTTGACGCACTAGAAAAGCGACAAAAGTGCAGATGAGTACGTCCGTGCCCCAGGAGCTGGTAAAATTGGAGCTGCCTGCCCGGGCCACGCACCCATGCTGGCGCTGCAGCAACGAGAGCCTCCGTGGCTCCTCTTGCCTGTTAATGGAGGAGGGCGGGCAGCGGCTCCCGTGCCTCTCCCTCAGCAGCCTTTCTGTTTGCATTCCCAGTAGGAAAAACGTGCAATCAAGGCCGCTGCAGGCTGCATGGCAGAGCTGCCACGCCTGAGCTGCTGATCCAACCCGCCAGGGCTCTTGGGCTCGCCTGTGGGGGAGGGTTGTCAGGGATAGTCCTGAGAAATTGTGTGGGCTGGGGAGGTTTGCAGCTTAAGCTCCGTTTTGCGTTCATCCTTCCTCTTAGTCCAGGTTTCCAGGCATTTCAGAGGTTGCAAAGTCTTCTGTGACTTGAATGAGTTAAAAGGACTGAGAAGAATATTTTATTGTTGGTTTTGGGAAGCTTACTGGGCACGGAAATGCTGAAATTCACTAAAAGTAATTACCCTCAGTAATAAGAATGCGGTTTGTGAGCCATTTTCAAATATGTTTTAATATAGATGGACTATGAAATACATGCCTTCTTTAATTTTTTCCAGCGTGTGGCTCGTTCCCAGGAAGAACTCAGAGATAAAGTTTTCCAGCCAGAGAGGAATCGTTTGGAAGTTGTTATACGGAAGGATGTAGAGTACATTGATCGGAAGTCAGAGAGCGATCAGTGGATGAATTCATCTGTGGATTCCAGCACATCTAGCCAAGAACACCTGAACCATTCATCCAAACCGGTCTCGCCTGGTTCTTGTTTAACTAAAAGTGGACCTGGCCGTTGGAAAACTCCAGCTACCAGCCAGCCAACTCCAGTGGCCATTTCCCAGCCCATCAGAACAGATCTTCCCCCTCCACCGCCACCTCCTCCAGTGCATTATGCAGCTGAATTTGATGAACTACAAATGGATTTGCCTCTGCCTCCCCCTCCTCCTCCAAATCAGATAGGAGCACAAGCATCTTCCCAGGTAGCCGCTGCTGAGCGTAAAAAAAGAGAAGAGCATCAGAGGTGGTATGAAAAGGAAAAGGCACGTTTGGAAGAAGAACGAGAAAGGAAACGTCGTGAGCAGGAAAGAAAACTGGGCCAAATTCCCCCTGTTTCCCTTCAACAAGTGAAATCAGAAAAACCTTCAACTTTGCAGAGGTCTCAAGAAACAGTCATTCGAGAGTTGCAGCCCCAGCAGCAGCCTCGGACTATTGAGCGGAGAGATCTGCAGTACATTACTATCAGCAAGGAAGAACTGTCCTCTAGCGATAGCCTCTCTCCAGATCCCTGGAAACGGGATGCTAAGGAGAAACTGGAGAAGCAGCAACAGATGCACATTGTGGACATGCTGAGTAAAGAGATTCAGGATCTCCAGAACAAGCCTGATCGTACAGCAGAAGAAAATGACCGCCTGCGCAAACTCATGCTTGAGTGGCAGTTCCAAAAGCGGCTTCAAGAATCAAAGCAAAAGGATGAAGATGATGATGAAGAGGAGGATGATGATGTGGATACAATGCTCATCATGCAGCGACTGGAGGCAGAAAGAAGAGCAAGGGTAAAAGGGGATAATCCTCTCTAGACAAAAGTATTGTAAATGTGTATCTTGGTGGGTTCTTTGACTTTGTCCGAGTATTTTGATGTTCTTACAGGGTAAAGGAGGGAAAGGCTTTATCTTGAACACCTTGACTTTTAAAATTGCTGACTAACAGTGGCTTTACCAGTTAAGTGATGTGTTATAAAAGTATCATAGCTACCTATTATAGAATCCAAGTTGGCAGTCGAATTTACTTTTCTGGGTGCGGGGAAAGAAATTCCTTTTGGATAAAGGGATTTTGCCATGTAGCTGCAGCAGGATTAGAAAGATAAATATGGCAAGAATTTTCTTACAGGAAGGTAAGCAAAAACATTGGAAATTATGGAAGTCTGTAGGAGAATCAGGAAAAGAAAGTGTCGGGTTTTGTTCACACACACACACACACACACACACACACACCCAACCCCCCCTGAAATAGATTTGCTTCTTATTTATAGTCTTGGACCTGAACATAGACAGCGAGTACGCGCTGTTTCCAGAGAACAGTGAACTGAACTGCAGTTCCACTTTGCTGGTCTTCCCCGAGTAGAGGCTGGGGCACAAAGCAGCTGCTACCTCTGCCTTTACCACCACCTCAGTGGTGACCCCAACAGTGCTGGGGGGAAGCATTAGGCTAAGCCATGTGGTTTTGGATACACCCCGTCTAGGGCTCCAGCTCATACGGACCTGGGTTTTGCATGGTTGTCCAGTTTAATCAGTATCTGACAAGGTTTGCTTACTTTAGCTTCAGTACTGTGAAAGCTTGTAACATGTCTAGTAAGCTAATGCAACTGAATGGTATGATGAAGTTTTTAATTGCTCTGTTGGTGGCGATTGTCTCTCAGAATCTGTTAAAATCTGTTGTTACTGGGAAACAATTTCTATAGGAAAATCTGTTTATTTTTTCTGAATAATAGCACGGATACCAAAGTTACATACGAATAGCTACACTTTGACAGGCTTAAAAACTAGCTCTGTGATATGCTGAATGTCTTCTGTTTGTTTATCTTGAAAAGTAAGCTTAATTCTGTGATAAGCAATTTTTAAAAATTCTTGAGAAACGTTTGCATGTGCGTATTTTGATATTCACAAATGCCTATCGGCTTGAGTAGTGTTTGAGTTCAGGATTGTTCTGGCAACTTGATTTCCTAAACTTACTCTTCTCATACTTACTGGAGTCTGCATTGCTTTCCTTTTTTTCTTGTGGCTAACTTTATTACTGTGTAAAACAATAGATACCTCAGACTTGGAAACTGAAGAAAGGAAAAGCTAAAAATATCTTTGGCAAACGGGTTGTATTAAAGCCCAGCATCGCTAACATGTAATTTGTAGCACACAGGCAGTTACCTATGGGCATAAAAAAATCCATGTACAACTGCATTTTAACAAACAGTGTCTTTAAAATTTTACTGTAGCAAGGCTAAAAAAAAAAAGCCATGTGTCATTAATAGAAAGCCAGTTGTATTGCGTAACGTATCAGTCTTCTCTGCAAGTGCTGGATTCAAAATACAGTTTGTGCATAAAGTTCTTCCAGCATTTTGGAACATTTTGAAATTAAAAAAGAACAGTTGTCTTGAACTGAAGCGATGTTTGCATTTGGATCCGTTTCACTGCCTATTCAACCAGAGATGCAATAAGTAGCATCTCTGGAGAAATACTGAGGTTTTGAATGAGTCACACTGATAACTGATAAACATTTTGGATTATTTGATTGTTTTCATTTCTGTATTTCAGGATTATGTCAATTCAGTTCCTCGTTCTAAAGCAGCTGACTTAACAAATAAAAGAAAATGCTTTTGAAATAGCGCAAGTCTAACCTATCTTTATTTTCACTGTGCTTCTCTTCTTTTTTTCCCCTTTCTTACTACCTGCAGCAGACTGCTGTGCCAGCAATCTCTGTTCTAGATTTGGTATGTTTGTTTCTTTCTCTTCAATATCTCTTTCCCATTTCAATTTCCTGATATTATTAATAACCACCCTATGTGCTTTGATGATTTGGCATCTTCGGGTGTTCAAAAATCATTGTGATACAATAAGCACTAAGTTAACTGTAAGCATGCATGTGAATGTTTCCAGACGTGGTGACTCCTTTCCCTGTGTTTCCTTCCTTTCAGACGTTGTGTTCTGCTTGCAGGCTTGATTTGTTTGTTGTAGCAGTGGTCAAATATAAAACTGTGTATTTGATGTTTTGTGCAATTGCGTTTATAAAAATCTTACTAAGCACTTTGAATGAACAAGTCGTGAGGTAAGATTTTCCCCCTTCCCTTCCCCACCCCTGTAGCTTTTAGAAGAGCTCTAGCAATGTCAATTCTTCCCAGTCTGAAGTGAAATTGTCCTGAGAGCTTAATACTGCAGGTTACTGACTCAGCATGTGCTGAAGCCCCATTGTTTACAGGTGTTACAATCTTCTCATTAAAGTCAAAATGGATTGTAAACTCAGAAATTACTTCAGAACTGATATTTCCAAGTAGGTCACATAAACATGCAATTATTAAGTTACCATATAATTTCAGTTACAGTTGGTTAATACCATTCTCTTGCATCAAAAACATGACAGACTTCTAAATTGCAGCAGTAATTGTATGACTCAAACTAACTCTCCATTTTACTGCTCTCATTGGAAATGGGAACATTTAAAAAAAAGTTCTGTAGTCTTATAGACAAGAAATACATCCCCTTCAACGTGTATCATTAGGATAACAATTTGAAAGAAGGGCAATGCTTGCAGGTCCTGGTAGTATAATTATTTTGTGCTGCTGGAAAAAAATGTAAACATGACTTAAAAATATAAATTTGGATATTCAGCACTGCTTTATTTTTTTTAAAAAGTCACCTTTTAAAACGCATACTTCAGATAACTTAGACTATCTAAGGTGTTCGGTTCTGTATCAGTGTGGTACATTAGTGTTAAGCAGTTGACAGCAGGGAAACAGGTGAAGCTTTCTCAATTAATGGGCAAGCCAGGAGTCATGGGTTTTTCAGACTTAGTATCTAACAATATTTTTTTCTTATTACTACTCCTGTAATTTTTTGCTTAAGTCTTGGTCTCCAGAGCTGTGGCTGTAAACTTCTGGATCTCTCTGTGACAGGAGGTTGTAAAGGCAGACAGTATCATCAGCTTTAAAAATGGATTACGCAAATTCATAGACATCATGCCTGTAAAAAGCTACTCAAAGGATTACACAAGGCTGTACCAGCTGACATCTCTAGTGCCACGCTGAATGCTGGGGAAATTAGAAGAGGTGGCCAGGCTTGTGTGCAGCTCTTCTTGCTGCGGTCAGAGAGAGAATACTGCACTAGATGGATGCATGGCCTGAATCAGTTGAGGATTTATTATGTTCATAAACTTCACGTTAAAAAAAGAAAGCAAGCTAATTCTGCAATAGATGCTGTTGAATGCTATACCCAGCAAATGCCTCTTTTTCCTAATTTCATCATTTTCATGCTGTTCACGTGACTTTCTGGGCATAGTTGCATCTATCCTATACTACTTCATCTACTCAAGAAATTACTTTGTAGTTTCTAGAGGAGAAAAAAGAATACACTTTAGAATGCTCCATGCTTTTTTTCTGTATGTCTAACATGAGTATTGGTGATAGCTGTTCTGCTGATTAAGAGGCTGATGAAAGGTGATGAATAGTTAATGCATGAATTGTCAGCTTGGCTGGCGTTTGTCTTTTTAAATTCCCTGGGCCACTAACAGATCTGACCCAACTTTAGTTGTCATAAATAAATAGATATAAATGTAAAGTTCTTCTGGAACTTCTTTTAAAGGATTCTAAGCAGCGCTTGGAGAAATGAATTTTGTCTGGAATCTGAGACTTCCTGGGTGCCTGCCAGGCCCGTGAATATCTTCACATTTCTGATAAGGAGCTGATGGGCTGCTCTGTTATGAGGAGCAATAGCTCAGAAGAAAGGTGCCCTTTCCTTGCCCTCTTCTCAGTACGAGCGGTGCTGCACACATGTGTTGGCGGTAGGGGGACAGAGTCGTGCGGCTGAGCGAACCCATGGCACTTTCAGGAGAGCTGGGACAAAGCAGGGGGAAAGAATTAGTGCTTTGTGCTTAGCTGCTTGGCTAAGCTTGGGCAAATGCTCTCCTCCGTCACTCTGGCTGTACGGATCAGTTGTTTCTACCTGTTACAGTATAAACACGTGCTGCTTTGGAGGCAGCCTGGAAGTACGGTAAATCACATGAAAACATGGTTTTTAAACTTAGAGAAGAACTAACCGGGATAGAGAAGTACTGAATCCAGATACTCAACTTGGGAATCTGACAACCCTCTTACTAGAAATGGGACATGCAGCTACCTTTCCTTAGCATCTTGAAAATTAGGGAGTTTGGGTTTGAGCTGGGTACCGTTGTGCACACTTGCAAACCCAAACCACTTCCAAGTGCTCTGGTGTGCCTCACCGTCCCACCGCTCCCTGCCTTGGTCTGGGAGTGCTCCCAGGTAGAAACTAGTTACTAATCATAAAGAAATTAAATGTCACTCTGTTACAGTTGCTCTATTCCTGCTTGTGCCTTCCCTATCATTTTGGGCCTTTTCACTAGGTGTTATGTTTAGAGTAGCCTCTGACCAGGATACAGTTGTCTTTGCAATTCTTTCAGTTCAGATGTTGACAACAGCTCCCAGGTGGGCACCCTGCCCAATTTTCCCTTCTTTCTTTGGTTATAAAATAAAATAAAACTTCCCCTTTAATTTAGTTTGAAATACTTTCTTGTTACAGTGCATTTGAATAGTAGAAATATTTGCTCCTAAGCAAAAAGGCATCCGTGCCGTAACCTGGGATCAGGAACATATTCAGGGTTTTTCTCTAAATGCAATTGGGACAGAGTCAAGGAGTTTTCGTGTACTTTTTCACTGTGCAGTTTTTGCTGCCTTGTGGGTTTTTTTGGGTGGCTGGTTTGATTTTTTTTTTTAAAGAGGAAATTGCTTCTCTCCTATAAACTCTTTTGAATTACTAGCTGTCTTTCCTTTTGACAGCAATATTATCTTCTTTCCTAAAATAGTGCCTTTTTAATAACCAAGACAAGTAGAGGTCTTAATCCAAGCAGGGAGTTGGTTAACTGCTTTATTCCCTGCTCTACCGTGTATACTGAGCTTGATCTTTATCTCTATGTCATTTTCGGTTAGGAATTACAAGTTTTAGGCCTAAATATGGGGAATTTACTTGCAGGTAGCATCCTCTACTATACGTTTGCCAAATTCCTGCCTAAATGAAATGAATTAATTTTCTTCTTCAGCTTTCATGCTCAAAAATGGTGGTTTTTAACACTTTAATTTGAAGTGTTTTCACCTTAATTAGTCTGTATAGCTGCTTGAAGATGTAGAAGGCAAATGTTTTCAGAATTACCAAGATCATAAGATACCCATAACACAAATACTACATGAACAGTGACCAGAAAATTAGTCCCCCCCCAGAAAAAAGTTTGGTTTTTAGAATTGATTGGAATACTGATTAGAAAACCTAATCTTCTCTAAAGCACATTTCCTGTTAATTAATTAGAAGGGAGAGATACCTACATGAAGGTTGCCCTCACAAAGTCTATTAGAACTAAATTTCTCTTACTATATCATTATTGCTTTGTGTCTTAAGGGCCTTTCTCTGTAAATGAAACTGGATTGTAAAAACAAATCCAGGAGTAGAGAAGTATCTGTGTTACGTGCAGCTTATGGGAAGATAAACCAACCAGTCAGTACAAATGATCTTGGGGCAGAGGGAATCACTTGAGAACATAGGCTGCAGCAAGTAATAACACAGCATGTAGTCCAGTTAATTTCTACTTGTGAATATTATTGTGCCAATGAATATTCCTGTCCGTCAAGGGCTTAGATACTGTTCGCTTTAGAGAACAATGCAAAGTTTGGATTGTTGTGCAATTTTATTTGTGCAGCGTTTACCGCAAGCATCTATAAACCAGTATTGTCTGTTGGACATCGGTTGTTCATGTGAGCTGTTTAATCTCAGTCAAAGATTTCTTTGCCTCACTCTCTGCATTTTCTAAAACGCATCTGCTGCAGATACAGTGGGAGATTTTATTTATCTCCTGAGACTATTTGCAGGCTTGCTGAATGAGCCTGTTACTTTAAACAGATTGACCCTTTGACTAATGAGTCATGATTTTTCCGGTGCTTAAATACTAATCCAAAATGAAAAGCCAATTGCCTGCTGGAGCTGTGGACTGTTGGTTCCAAGTATTTAATTTCACTTTACTGTACCTATGAGACTATGGTTGCTGAAGCTGTCTGGAAAGTGAGTCACCTCAGTCTTCTAGGGGTTCATATGTGACTGCTAGAAATGTCTCCCTGTGTGTTTTGTGCTTTTATGTATGTAGTTCTGCGCTTTTTGGGGGGGAAGAGGGCGTTGGTTTTTTATGGTTGGTTTTTTGGTTTGTTTGGGGTTTTTTTATGGAAACCAATGTAACAAAGCATACTCTTAACAGCTGGAAATTGTATTGATTTATCTGTAGGATAGCATTTTCTACCGAATGAGTTACTTCTAGATGCAGTTACTTGGGTTACATTATCTTTTTTTGACCCATCTTATCCACACGAGTGACGAAAAAATTAAAGACCCGTCTCTGTTAGTTACAGGATGAAGAACGCAGACGGCAGCAGCAGTTGGAAGAAATGCGCAAGCGAGAAGCAGAAGACAGGGCCAGGCAGGAAGAAGAGCGCCGACAGCAAGAGGAGGAGCGGACCAGAAGAGAGGCTGAAGAAAAGGTTGTGGTCTTCCGAGTGCTGCAGGGGTTCTTACAGACCTCTCCTCTTAGCCTGGCCAGTAACAGCTCAGTGTTGGGTCCGTAGGGGTTAAACACGCTAGCCCTGGTGATAACACTCATGGCCTAAGGCTTCGGTTTATCCAGTATAACACAGAAAGTATTTAAACAAATATCCCAGATATGGTGCTATTGCAGAACTCGTACTGTAAGCTTACCAGCTGAAGGTTTTTAGCCGTGGCAAGGGCTTGCCTTCAGAGCCTTTCCTGAAAGTTATGGCAGAAATCAATTACCTCCTGGTTTCCTTCACCCCCCAACATGACTTGCCTAAGATCTTTATTATAATGGCTGAGTTAGTGGTGTTGGGTTTTGCTGTGTCTCAGAGATGGCATTTAAATATTTTTGCAGTAATTGTTTTATATAAATACAGAGGGAGAGAGAGAAATATGAAATACAGTGGAGTGGAGATGAGTACTCCATGTTGTCTTTTGTGTTTGGACTATGGGAGGAAAACGAATTGGTTTGTAGAAAGGAAGTAAATAATTTTAACAGATAAGTCACTGTGCAATGAAACAGATTCTGAAAATTCAGGCTCCTAGGTTCCTTCAGAACATTATACGTGAATTTGAGAAGCTTTATTGTTCAAAACTGGAAGACAAAGCACCTCATTTGACTCTTAGTGTGTTTAAGAACCTCTTCCTAGAGAAAGAACACTTCAGGCTGAAGACTTGCCTGTTAGTAACGCTGACTTCAGAATGAAGAAAGAGGGCTAGCCTTTACTGTTACGAGAAATTCCATCTTGGAAGATTGAGCAAATATATTTAAGAAGAACCCCACGTAGATATATCCACTTTGTTAATTTGTTTAGTTAGATTGTTTTCAAGCTTTGTTAGACTGTTTTCCATAGGCAGTATGGGTTGATGAGTAGAAGAAAGCTAAGCTGGGGTGGTAAAAGGTGAGAATTGACGAAGGTGTATCTGGACTGAGAAAAGTATTTAAAAATAAACCAACTCAGGCTTTCTTATTTTCTGACAATGATGCAGCCAGATGACATTTGGATCACGGGGTTTTCACTGGCAGATCTTGACTGAGACACTCGTACATCTACCAGCTCAGAACTCGGTACCATCTGACCACCACAGTGGTTTTAGGGAGTAGTACAAGGAGTTGAGTTTCATGTCTTTGCTCTAGATGAAAGAAATCAGACTTATTTAATTTTTTTTAGGATAACTGACTCATGGTGTTGAGCAGATAGATAAGCAGATAAAGTGGTTTTTTTGAACACATGGATTAAAACCAGAAAAGGTGGTGGTTCAAAATGTCAGGTATTCCCAGCAGAAGTTATACCATGCTTAGACAAAAGGTTTTTTGTAACATATGGTTTCCAAATACATGTTTTAATTAGTTATCAAGATACTGAATAGACCTTTGTATTAATTTACAATGTGGCTTAGACAAGAGCTGAGCAGAATTAAATGCTATTTAGTTTAAAACAGTAAAAACCTTTTCAACTGGAAAAATACATAGAAGATATTTCATGGCCTTTTAAATGGTCAGTAGCCTCATATAAATATCATTAGCATAGTTTTTTAAAAAACAGTTATTTGATATCTGTTTCACAAAAGTTCTTTGTAATTTGATTTCTATGTGAAAGTAGTTTTCCTGGTATTTATACTAGAAGCGTTGTTCGGAGTCATCTAGTCCAAGGCTCTGTTGATGAATTTACATTGTATGAGCACGCAGCAAAATTACAAAGTTCCTTTTTTAAGATGGTAGTTAATTTTAGTTATTTCCCTCTCCCACAGATTCTTTACAGCTGTAGTAACTCTACCCCTTATTACCTTAGTTAAGTTTTGAGTAATAAATGCTGGAATCACCCTTAGTTCAGGCAGGCAGCTGCCGTGGTTACCAGAGGCAGTGGTAAATCTGGAAATAACAGCAACGCTGTGTTACAGGACGGCTGCTGGTTTTTTCACAGTAGTAAATATTCTTTGTATGAGTCCATACAGATGCCCTGCTTACTGCCAGAAAAGGAGACACAAAAAAAAATGATGTTTGTAGCTCAGTGACGGAAAACTTAAACCTCTCTTGAAACGTCTTGTCTTTCTGACCACTGTGTTTCTGTTTCCTCTGGCCTTACAGAGGCGACAGGAAGAGGAGTATTACAGTCGCTTAGAGGCTGAAAGGCGCAGGCAGCACGATGAAGCAGAACGAAGATTACTGGAACCTGACGAGCCTGGTCTGTACAGACCTCCGCTTCCACGGGAATATGAACTCCCATCCCCAACCCCTTCATCTAACGCTCCTCCTCCCCCACCTCAGCGAAACACCTCTTACCTCAAAACACAGGTCCTCTCCCCTGACACGATTTATACTGCCAAGTTTGTTGCATACAATGATGATGATGAGGAGGAGGAGGATTCCAGTCTAGCAGGTCAGGATAAGTACTCCAGCACAAGAAAATCTTATGGTGACTTTCCTCCTGCCACCCTTAAGCCACAGCAGCCCTCCCGCCAGCCTCGCCCAGTTTCAGATGGCCTCTTTCTTTCCAACTCATTCCAGCCATCTCCGGTCAATGCCAACAGTACTACTGCCAAAAAAAGCCAGCCCCAGCCCCCACCAAACAAACCGAGTGTCATCCATGCCAGCAGCTCTAAAGGTAGACACCAGGAAATCAATCGTCTCTACAGAACTCTCCTCACGTTTTCAACTCTGGTGCTGTAGATTGAATCGCTTACTTCGTGATTTATTTTTTTCCCCACTTCAATCACTATTTTCACTATGGTGATCTAACTTAAATCCTGATATTAATATAAATCCTCCAATTTGTGATTGTCTTGATCTCTCAAATTTCCCTGTTCCTTACCCAAACTCTTCAAAAGCAAAAATTCCATCTTTCACACAATGAATCAGCAATGATTTTAACTGTTACTCAACCAATTCAAAGTACTGTTGGTTTTGGCTTCCATCCTGTATCTTTCAGTGATTTGTGTTGTATGACTGACCGCTGGTTACTCAGGGCATCTGGAAGTGCACCATTCTTGAACACAGGAAACCTTTTCTAATGGGTTCACGGACAGAGCTTATCTTCTCCTTTCGTTATTGGTACCAGGGTTCTCTTCTTTAATAATATGTGCAAATGGCTTTAAAAACGACCTTGGTAGACGTAGTTCTTAAATATACAAGCACCAAGAGACATTTAGGACATGCAGTCGGTTCGTGTATTAGCCCCCATTCCTGTACTTCTGATTTGTACAGTGCCATTTTCTTGTGAAGAGAGACAAAAATGTAAATTTCATCATGGTGCTTTTTGCCTTAATCCATCCCTCCCCTTCTGCACCCCAGTATTTCTTTGTCTCCTCATCTTGTTTCTTTTATAACTGCAAGTGGGCAACTATAATGGAGTTTAACTTCAAGTAGAGCTCTAGCTGCTAGTAACTTCAGCACCGTATTTTATCTGCAGAGTTCTAATTTAGCTATACTCATGGATTCAAAGGTAATTCAGTCCAAAGTTCCGTGCTAAAATTTTTTTAAACAGCTGCCTGTGTAGATACCACTAATAAATTCGCAGTTTATTAATATTTGTCTTTAAATAGCAGCATCTGCCAGTGCTTCCCCTGCATTTGTTTTCTTCTGTATTCTTCTGAAGGGAATGCTGGCCGTGACATTCCCCTAGTTCGTTCTTTTCACTTGTGCTGGAAGTCAACAAATGCCTGACAACCAAATCCAGCCGATCAGATCATCCTTCGGAAATGCAGAGGGTAGCAAGTCACCTGAGATAGCAAGGGAAAAAGTGTTTATGCTGGCTTCTAGCCAAATGGTGATTCAAGTCTCGGTGACCAATGTGGAAGCCTACGATATGGTATATCCCTGATCACCTTTTTGTCCACCTAACTAGTTAGGAAAATCACTTTCTTTAATCAGAGGTGTGGTGTGCCCTGGTCATAGGGAGCATACGAGAGCCTCGGAATAGGTTCCGTCTATCAGAAGCACTTCTAATCCAGCTGCAGTGGTGTATGAATCTGATTTAGGATGCGTGTGAAGTCATTCAGGTATGTGATGCTCCGAGCTTCCTGTCGTTCACTTAAGGCTCAAGTCATCATTTTCCAGCAAGGCATCCTTCCCTTTGCAGGACAAATTGGCTTCTGCTACAGCTGGGCTGATTCCAGTGCCGAAGCGAAGCTCTGCACAGCATTGTGCAGTTTCAGTATTGCTGAAGGGACAGCATTTTAGCTCAGTTATAATTACTGTCCAGCTGCTACAGTTGGTGCTTAGCAGCCTCACTGTTTGGGGTCAGTGCAGCACCCAAACTGCATAAAAAGTATCCACACTGATACTTGTTTAAAGGAAAAAAAAAAACCAACACAACCCTGTTTGTTTATCCTGGTGTTGCCTGTGAGATCTCGTCACGTAGTAGTCCCTATGGATCCTGCAAGCCTGTCTGTCACTCCCTGTCTGGCTCTGTCATACGTTCCAAATCTTAAAGGAAGGTGAGGGAAGGGTTTAGCTCAGTGTGTTGTCATTAGACTGGAATATAAGTAGACACACTGTACGCTACCTGCTATGTGCTACCATTGCAATGCAAATAATTCCATTATGCCTACCTGCCATGCATGCGAGCCCACCAATAAACCCACAACCAGTGATCCCAAATCAAAGTTTTGTATCAGGAGGAGTCTAGCTTCTGAGCACCTTATATCATGCAGAATTAATGAGTTAAAATAAGGTGAAAGTGAGGAAATATGCAGAAAAGATTCTTTTTAAGCACTGTGACTGACGATGTTGTTAGTTTGCTCTTAGGAACATTCTGAAACAGCGGGCATATGCCATGGAACTTTCGTACTTTGTGTACTGAATTTTTGTTCTTTGAAAGGACTTTCTTTTTCTAGGCATTCTTACTTGAAACTGAACATAATAGAGTGTAAAATGTGCTTTCCATCACAACACGCAGGCTTCCAAAGGCCCTGGCTTCCCTTCTTTATTTGGCACTTTGAAGGCTGCACATGTAGTGAATTAAGTAACTCTAGAACCATCAGTTGCTGGTTGTCACCACCACTCTTCCTGCCTCCCATCGTCCACAGCCCAGAATGCCATTTCATATGTAATTGCATTTCCCAGTCCTGCTTTCTGTTAATTTTAATGGAAAAATGAATCTCAGGGAAGTGAAATGTTCAGTGATATTTTTTGTGTGTGCGCGTTTGTTTTTCCTGGAAAACAATCAGAACGACAAGCTACAAAGATTGGCTTAGGGTTTTGGTAACCGTTAAGGAGTATTGTAGTATGATGCTTCGCCTTTAATAACCTAATTCATAAACCATACAACTAATTCTGAATACTCTTTATCTCATAATTTTTAAAATAGCCATGAGAACAGGTTAACTTCACCTGATTGCTCAAGCTTCTATGAAGACTGCCTGCGTAACGTACAAAGCCGTTTGCACAAAATGCAGAATTCACCGTGCAGTTTACCATCTCCCATCTCGCTGACTCTCTTACATTACTGTCCTTCACAGCTCTTCTCTGTTCTGAATGTTAACTCTAGTAAACCACGCTTCTGCAAATTTTGCTCTCGTACCTTCTTCCACTGGGTCTGTCAACTAACCAAAAAAAAAAAGCCTAACACCCAAATCAAAGCCACTGTCCTGAAGCAGGTGGAAGTGTGAACCACAGCATGTGGATCCAGACTTTTCAAAGTCGGGAAGGTGCTACTTGTACTTGTGTTAAGACTCAATGTCTGGAAGGGAAAAAAAACCTTCGTGTGCCTGGCGTACCTAGTATGATTTGGTCAGCCACAAATTTTTGGCGGAAAAAACTTTAGCCTACAACACGCTAGCTAAATTTGCTTGTGTGTGCCAGCCTCCTGTATCTCTCTCATTGAATATTTATGAGAAGTTACGTATACCAGTGGAAGAAGCAAACATTTCCTTCTGTACCAAAGAAGGTTCACAAGACATAACACGTACAATATTGAGACCAGAACTGTCTGAAGACAAATCTGAGTATCGTGCTGATGCTTGTTTTTACTCCTTTCCTGACAGCTCTTAAGAGAACATGGTCTTAAATATAGATTAAATTATTACACTTTTTTTGATTGGAAAGAAAAGGTTTTGTCTTGTGGCCTTTAGAAAGAATTAATACAATGTGTAAAACCTGTGTGTTTTATCAACTTCAAGTGAAGGTGCAGTGCTGCAAGGTTCTTGCTTGAAATTTAAATTTAAGGGGAGGAAGGGGGCATTTTCTGAGTGATCCAGCTTCCTTAATCAGACTAAAGAGAGACAGAAATTCTGACTCTGCTGAATTGCGACGATGGTGTATAGTAATCCTAGCTTACCTGTAGGCTCCTAAAGAACGTAGCTGCAGCTAACTCGCTTCCTGTGGAGCTTGTTACAGGACAACGAAGTGTGGTGTTGCTCTTCCCGTCAGTCTCCTCGAACAACTTCTGTCTTACAGTAAACCATAATAAGATAAAGACCATGATTTGAAATGTGCTGGATAATCTAAACAAAGTGTGTTCCGACTCAAAATTAGGAATAGAAAAAACACAGCTGTTTTGAGGAGGCTAGAATTTAGTAGTACTGGTTTTAAGTCTCCTACAGGTCAGGTGACCCTCTAAATTTATTTCTAAATTTATTTCTGATTCGAGCTTGAGATTATTTCTTGAAAGAAGCACTGCACCTTTTACAGAAATACATTATAAAACGTCTGTGTTATAACTGCAGTCCTTCAACTTACTTTTTCTTTTGCACAAGGAATAAATTCGTACACTGGATCTACAGGAGCAGCTGTCGGGGCCCATGAAGTTTATCGGGATCCAAGAGACAAAAGATCTAAAAGGTGACATGCGGGAGGCCATTAACTTTTATACACCTGGCTTGGCTAACTTCTGCAGTACTTTCTGTTACTATTGTTGTTGTTGTAGCCCATCTCTCTGGGCTATTCACGAGTTCTGCAGTTGGCCCTGGAGTATCATGGGTTACTCCCTAAAATACAAGTAGGTTCTCCCCAAGTCTTCAGGTGATCTGAAGTACTGCTTCACAGCAGCAAATTTCAGTGCCACAATGGAGTAAATTCAAAAAAATGTTGTAAATTAACAACTTCAACTCTTCTAGGTGTATTTATAAATCTTGAACGTACCTCTCAAGTGGGATTCGTACCAAATTTTTAATAAACATAATAATATGGGATTTAGCATATATGTGAGTGGCAAGCTTTACTGTGTAGCGAACTGAAGACGCGGCTGGGCTTGGCCGGGATGCTGTAGAAGCTCTCAGGCCAGTTCCCGCATTTTAAAATGGCATGTTTCAGTGGAGTGTGCGGAGCAGAGACCTCTCGCAGCTGAAGTGAAACCTCTTCTGATCAAGAAACAGAAGTGTATATTAAAGCTGTATTATATGAGAGTTAATTACATATGTAAAGTATCGTTACAACTCAGAATGATTTGAGATCTTCACTGCGGTGGTCAGAAACATGTCATAGAAAAAGTGGTTTGCCACAAGGCTAAGAAATAAGCGCACGAGCTTAGGCAACGATTGCACTTGGAAGCTTTGCCAGGAGAGAATGAAATCGAGAGGTGTCGCAGCCACTACAGCATGCCTCGGTGCTAGTCGCTTTGCTTACCGAGACATCAAAGCTTTGTATTCCAGTGCTTTTTCCTAGACAGGTGCCAGCACAGACAGGCTTGCTGATTTTAGCCCTAGCAGCAGTGCTGTGCCAATACAGACAGAGCCTGAGTTTACGCCCGCGCTTCGCTTTGAAGGCCAACGAGCAGTTCTGTTCATGTTGGTGTGCCAGGGATGGCTCACGAGCCATTCATTTGTCTAAGTGATAGCACGGTATCAGGATTAAAGGTATGTGGGGAACAAAACCTTGCAGAACGCTAAACGGAGAATCTTTTGCTGTAGTCTAAAAAGCTACCAGTCAGTACGCGTCACTAAGAATTACTGTATTTAAGGATATTGTAGATAAGAATTCTAACAAAGACTTTATTTATTTTTTTTCTTCCTTTCCAGTCAAGAGGCAGATTTACCTGGAGCACCAGAAAACTTGACGTTCAGGGAACGCCAGCGACTTTTTTCACAGGGTCAGGATGTATCCAATAAAGTAAAAGCTTCTAGGAAATTAATGGAACTGGAAAATGAGTTGAACACAAAGTAAGATTAAAGCACCTTATCAGATGTAACTGAAGATCTCTAAATTGAGGGATTGAGATGGGGGGCACACTACTAATGAACAGAAAATGAATGTTTTCTGAAAGGAGTGACTTTGATTCCTCTATATCTAAGACTGTTAATTAAGATTTAGAGATGTTGCAGTAGCAAGAAAACTGATTACTTTGCCAGGAGCTTGTGGTTTATACAATGAAAGCACTGTAAAATTTTAACGATATGAAATCACGTGAAGGTAACTTTTTTTTTTTTTCTCCTTTCTGTTTTGGGGGTTAAGTTCTTGTGCACCAGACCAAGTAGCACTTGTCAAAGATAAGTTCTGTTTCCTGGTGTTTTACAGACACACTTTTGTTTTAGCTGCTGAGCAGAGAGAGTGAGAATAGCTTGAACTGCCTAAACTAAACTGTGCACTAGAAATGAGTGTTTTAGTTTGTTTGATAAGACGCCAATATCTGGGCCACCTTAAATAAGACTTTATATGCAAGTTTGATGTACTGTATGGTGTTCATCCAATGATCAGCATATCAATACAGATCTTAACCATTACTTAGTCCTGGAGTAACACGCATCCTGTAGGTAGAACCTTGGAATAAAAACATTTCTAGTCCTACGTATTTGTTGGGTCTAAAATGGTTGCGTAAGAATTTATCTGTAGTTACGGAATAGTCTGTATGTTGATGCATCCCCACTACATGTGCTTCGGACTTTCAAAAATGTGAAGATAAAACCTTTGGATAATTGTTTTGCTGCAAATTACATAAGCAATAGATAGTAGGCTACACGAGTGGCCCTTCAGCAGTGAGGACCAAAACGTTAGTATCGCGTTAAAGGCGAGGAGTAACGGTTCCGGTTCCAAGGTGAGCAGAACAGATACATATGTCTTCTGGGAAAGGTAGATTAGAAGTGTCATTGGGCAATTAGGCAAGGAACAGTATTGATAAGTCTGCTACTATCAGTTCAGCAATATCTATGTTTTGGTTTGGTTTTTTTTCCTGAGAAATGAACCGGCATATTGGTGTGAAGCACCAAATAGAGCACTGCTGGCTGGGAGCCGGAGTGTCGGTAAGGTGGCTGACAGGCTCCCTGTGCTGGCGACCAGCCGCCTCCGCTCACCCTGAGGAGGCAGCGCTCGCCGGCTCTTCTTTAGCCTAGCTGGCTTCGCTGGCGTCCCATCACTGTTGTACCGAGCATCTTTTGGGCAGTTCAAGCTATTTGTTCACACTGTAATAGCCTTATTTAATTTTAAATTGTTAATCTTTTTCCTCCCGCTGTTTCTTCAGCTATGCATATGTGGCTGATGATGCTGGGAATAAGGACCTCATCAGATTTTTTTCTCATTGTGTGATGTTAAGACAATATATATTGTGATTCCAAACAAATTTTCTATTTGACAAAGCCCTTTACTGGCTTTAGATGATGATTTTTTTTTTCCTGTACCATATTGTTCTCCTATAAATATATATTTAGGGAATTGTGCACACTTCCAAATACAAAGGGGTAGACTTTCACTGCCTTAGGAAAGAAATCACTTTTAATAAGAGTTGTATGATAAATAAATGCAAGTTAATGAAAATTGGAGTGTAAATATTTTTTACGTATTTCAGGTTTCTTATTTGAAAGTGTGCTTTTACCGTTTCACCTGTTAAATATGAAGTAGAAGATTAAACTGGTTCAAAGTGTTAATGAAGGATCTGCATGCTTGCTATGTCTGTTAATCAGGAAAAGCAAGCCTCTCCCAACTTATCTTGAGAACACTAGCAGCCTTACAGTGACAAATTTTTCTTGAGGAAAAAAACTTATGCTGTGGCTGAATTACTGTTGCTGCTAGAATCTGAAAAAGGCTTAGCAAAAAAAATACCTATAACCTTCAGTCGAGTGGATTTGGCCGCTATTGGGCATTCGGGTCAAGTGTGAATATGTGTAAAAGTGCTTTTCATATTTGTCTGTGCATTATTATGAAAAACATCAAAACTGCTGTAGTTTCCCATTTCTACTGTATTTCACTTGCAACCTATTTTTAATAAAGTTTGTATTGTATTTAACTTTGCATTAAATGTTTTTTGTACTGTTTGTTATTTGATTCTGCATTCATAACAGCATCATCATAAACCAGAGGGGCTCTCATTCATATGTTTTTGCCTTACCTGTCCTTTTAAAATAAATTTACAAGCAAAGTCAGTGTATTTGAGGTGAAAACCTCGAATTAATTTTACATGGAGAATCAACAAAGGAGGCTGATGCGTGTTGATCAGAGAGGAGGATTTCTTGGCCTAACGTTGTTTAGTATCTGTAGCAGTGACTTGAAAGAAGAAACAATTTTTACAGCTTAACCAGCAACTTAGGAAATACTGGTGGGGTCAGTTCCGCAGGCCGGTCATACCGTGTTTGTATCCTCCTCAGGTGCAAAGTTGTACTTCTGCAGCGAAGAGGAACCTGGAACGCAGCCGCTTCTGGAAAAGGAAATAGTACTGCAACCAAAGTCTCCATTGTGCTTGCTGTGGTTAAAAAGTCCTGTGATCTCTTTATCTGGAACACAAAGACAGGATAACTTTTTGTCAAATATCTGGAAAAAAAAAAAAATCAGGTTGGCTGACCTGGAAGTTTGGGGGGAGCGGGAGGGGGTGTGTGGACACAAATTCTGTGTGTAGTTTTGAATGGAGGTTGAGTTGTAGGACTTAGGAATGTTGCTGCTCCTCTTCTGTCGGTGGCTCGATGCGGTTCGGTGACTTGCCTCTCAACAGGAGACAGCAGTTCAGGTCCTGGCTGGGGAGGGAACTGGGCCCCAGTGAAGTGCGGCAGATGCCTTCTGCTGTAGCTGAAGGTCTGCTGGAGCTGCGACTGAGAGCCGCCTACGTCGCTTCCCAGGCGAGTACCTTAATCTCTGGAGTTGTGGGGTGGGTCTATGCTCCGGAATTTTCAAAATCACTAATGAGGACATTGTGGATTTTCGTATGAGAGGTGTGCGTATAGGCAGGGAAGAAGCTAAAGGAACCACGGAAAGCCAGAACTGCTGTGTAGCACGTTGCAAGGACATGACTGCCAGGACCTCAGGGGGGAAGTTTTTATCCATGTTTTGAGTCTGTAGCTTTTGACTGTGAGAACAGAACTTTTAATTTTGAATACAGAATGTGTAGTCTAGGAAGAAAAAGGAAACCATCTATTGTCCTTCTGTATGGCAGGCCCTCAGCATAAGCAAGAGCAAAGAACCGGTGCAAGCAGAAAGTGATTTATTTGATGAGACTACAGTTGTCACAGCTGTGAACTGTGTCGTAGAAACATCTATTTCCAGACTACAGTGGTCCAGGGGTTGTGGGGAAGGAACTGCGTGATAAGCAACAGTGGGAACGCTTTTTCAGTGGGGAAACAAGTTTTGAGCTATTCCTTGCACAGCTTGGGTCGGGTTTGCTAAGCGAGCGCACTGGTGCTCACTGCTTTGCTCTAGGGACGTGCGTTGTCATCCCGAGCAGCATAGCGCTTGGCATTTTAATTGACAATGACCCTCGTGGTGATAACCGTGTGAAACTGCATTTGCATATGCAGCCAGGTCTGCCCCTCCCGCCCAGCAAGGGCTCTTTATTTTAAACCTCTCCCACATTCTCCCTTCTGCACCCATCATCCACACACGCTGCTTTTCAACTGCTTTTGCGTGCAGTCTGTACTACGGTCCTGCTGGTAACTGAGGAGAAGGCGGGGAAATCAAGAAATTGACAAAGTCCGTGGTGTATGTCCTGTTTACTGCAATAACAAACTATATACCTGATCACACAAATGGCTCTTTGTAGGTCGAGCAATGAGTACACAAGCAGCAGAATCAACGAGACCGTTCTCTGCCTCCTAATTTAGTTGGATAACATGAGAAATCGTAACAAAAACAGCGACGGTAAAAAATGAGCCTCACCAAGAATAGTCTTAAAACACACGTAGTAACTCGTGTGTGTGATGGCAAGAATGGGAAAACATTCGGCTCTTCCTCCTGTTTTGTCAAATGATGCTGCTGTCTCACATGGTCAGTTAGTGGCTGTGTGGCACAGTAAAAATCCGGGGTCAGCCGACTTCTCTCCCAGCCGGAACGGCAGGCAAACTCCTTCAGGAGGCCAGGGTGCAATACACCTGCTGGGAGAACCCCCGTTAATTATTCTCAGTAACAGATGGATGTTCAGAACTGACCCACAGTCACCGAAGCAGATGTCTTGCTAAAAGGTGTGGAATGAAATATTTACAGCTTCACAGGCTTGATGTTTTGGGAGGTTTGAACGATGGGCTGCATGCAGTGCAGCAGTCCCAAGTTACCGGCTGCTGAGCGTGGCGAACGCGCTCCCCTACGGGCAGCAGAAGATCTGAAGGCACACCGCAGTGAGTCTCCCGGTGTCTGGCGCGAGAGGGATGGCAACCTCCTCTCTTTGGCGTTTTTCCCCGGTGCTTTTCTACCCATTTTATTCCCAGTAACTGCATTTTGGGAGTGCTGCAACGGACGACTGATCAGAAGGCTGAAGCTGGGACCTCGTCAGTCTCATTGGTTCCCCTGCCGGGGTTCATGTGAAATGCGTGGGAAGTGTTCAAACCAATGCTTCCTTAGTAGCATCTTAAGACTTACAGTCCACCACGGTGGTATTTCACTAATGCCAAAGACTGAAATTAGGATTTAGGCAATTTTGTTAAATTTCTGGCCCTCCAGTTCCCCAGAAGGATCTGTAATAAAGCAGGGCTCTGCCTCTGCAGGGGGAAGACAAGACCAAGTTGGTACAAGTTTTGGGGGAAAAAAACCCCCGGCGATTCTTCAAAGCAGAGAATCGGTGCAGAAAGGCGTGCTGGAATACAGCCTTGCAGCATTTCCAGAAGACAGCTGGACTTTATGTTTGTTTCTTTCCCAGATCACACTGACAGACTGTTTTGCTCCCTGCCCATCAAGCAGCTCCTCCTGAGCTTTGGAAATAGAAGGAAGTTCCCAAAAGAGAATTGCTGCTGTTATGGTGAGACATAGATCATACT